CAAGTGGGTCGACCGCCCCCCTCCCCGCCCTGGCCACGCCCACCGACGACCCGAACTTATGCCGGCAATGTAATTAACACACAAAAATTGAAATCTGCTGGCAGGAGACGATGGCTTCATTGAGGTCCTAGGAATGTCTGCAGATGGTGGAGCCTGAGCACATGTGTGTATGTGTGGGCATCCTGCAGTGTGTATGTGTATGTGTATGTGTGTATGTGTGGGCATCCTGCAGTGTGCGGTGTTTACACACACGAAGTCGCAACAACATCCTTTTTGTGTTTTCGTAATTAAAAATCAGCTGCAGGATATTTTTCGCCCAGATTCTCGCCAACGAAATTACAACCTCGATGGGTGTGGGCTTCTGCATTCGCAAGTACGCGTGTATACAGCAATTTTCCCAGCTACTTGTAACACGAGCGAGCGGAAAACTGGCACGCCCACGTTACAATTATTAAGCGATTTCATATAGCCGCATCAATATATAAAATCGAAAGAGACTTAACGATTTTGAAACCATTTGAACCATTTTTTCAACATTTTTCCTACTTAAAAATGTAGAGCTACTGTAAAGATAGTTTAAGCTCCTTGAAATCTCTTATTGAGCTGGTATTCCTCCATTAGGCAGATTACAAAGAGGATATTTTTGTATGTACAAAGGCTTAACTGGAATTCCTTTAATTGCATTTTTTCATTAATTAAGCAGAAATATTTTCGGCACCAGCGATTTTACACAGCGGACATAATTGAAACCGCGGGCCGGCAGATAAAACACAGGAGACGAGTCCGGATAATATAGTATGTATGAGGATATGCACAAGGTCCTGCGGACTTTCCCATTCAACTCATTGTAATGAAGGAGCTTAAAATAATTAACCGGCGGGACTCCGAATCGCACAGAGATAAAAGAATCGCAGAAGCGTTTAACCGGCACAACAAATATGCCTCAATACGCGTATGATTTAAACAAATAGCCTGGCCAACGGGGAGTGGGAAAAGCGTTAACATTAAAGCCCTCGGAATTGTGAGCAAATATTTTCGCTGCATTTCCAGCATTTCAGGTCTGGTGCATTCGATATGTACATATACGAGTATACGAGTATATGTGTGTGCCCTTGTGTGTGAAAAGCGTAATTTATTTCCCGATCATTTATTTTATATTAATTAAATATGCGGTTTTAATATATACATTTAAATCATACACACTCGCATATTTGTATTTACATATATCATTTGGTCGGGGGCCGGGGAAATCTGTTTTTAAGCTGGAAAGAAAACATTGAGGGATTTCCCCCGTTGTTTCGGCGCTTTTCTTTATTCGGCGGCGACCGCAGGCAGGGAAAACAGAAAATGCATTGAAACAAAAACGAGTGAAATGCTTTGACAAGCATCTGCTGTGGGCGGCTCAGTGGGCGGGGGCGTGGCCTGTTTTTGACAAATTGACTTTGCCAGCAATAACAATAATACCAACCACAACAACAACCGAACAACAACAACGGCAACCAGAAGCGATTTTCAAGTACTATATTCATATTGATTTCAAGCGAAACTCGAAATGCAAATGACAGATTTATTTTTCATGCTCTCGTTCTGCGGCTGTCAATCAAGTTGTCGAAGGTGTTGATTGATGCCCAGCACTCGAGTGGGCGGGAGTTGTGCATTAAGAACATTTCAAATATTTTTGACAGCTCCGAATTTGAAATTTCAGCTCCTTCCCAACGACGCCAACGAGCACAGTGGTCCGCATTGAGCTGGAGTTGCCATGGAAATTAGAATTACGTGAGGATTTAATCAAATACTTGCACTTATCCAGACAAGGTGGGGCATTCACAGCAAATCAACTTCAAATGTAGCCATCGGATATTTTGACAAGCTCCCTGTAAGCGCTTTGGCCAGCTTTTCCCATTCGCCACTGTAGCTCAGCTGGCGGAAAACGCTTGAGTGAGTTTTCCCATTGACGCAAGCTGAGCCAGGCAAGTAGCTACTGAGCCAGCCATTCAAGCGGGCATTAGACATGCTTAGGAATGCAATGGAGCATGTGCAGCCTGGGCGCTGGAAGAGATTACCCCCAGACAGGAGCGGTGCCATCCTCCCCGGCAAATATAAGTGGCGCCCGGAGAAGTTGAAGAAAATAAAATCACCACAGAATTGCCATTAAAATCGTAGCCTACATTTCATTGTTTGCTGCCTGCGGCACTCGAAAAAAAATCCCCCATGTTCGCAGGTGCTAAATTTGCGAGCGGGCTTTTGCTTTGTTTGGGCTCCTCGAGCTTAGTAATTTGTTGCCATGTTTATTCATGAAAGCGTCGTCGTCGCGGCAGACAACGAGCAGACGGAAAACAAATACTGGCCAAAATACACACAGCCCAAAAGCTCGCTGCCACACGCACTTGAACAATGCTCGAAAGAGCCCCTTTCCGCCCCTCGTGACACTCGCGTTTTAAATTATTAAGCGCCATCCGGCGACTCACCTAGCCAAACACAGCAGCGGTCGCAATAATAGTTCGTTGCTATAACAGAGAGAGGAAATGTGAAATATTTAATTTTAACTGAATGTACGGATGAAAAGGTATCATTAGGAGTGCAACAATCGAAAGGCAGCGATATTTTATTGCATACTTCTGGGCGCTACGAAATAGATTAAATCAAGATTCAAGATGGGAACCTCTGGGAAGTAATATTTGTAACTTCCGTGCCACACTCTCGACCTCAATTGTTTCACACACTTGCCAGAAAGCAGCGAAATTGAAAGCTTAAACGGCCGGGAAGCTTGACATCTCCGGCAGTGCTTAAAACCGGGCCAAGACAGGAAAAAAAAACAAAAAAGAAAAGGACGGAAGCGAGGACACCCAGTTGAACTAGAGGAGCAAAGTGCTTTAAATGGGTTGCAGGATTTTGGACTTGGGACTCGCAGGACATGGAGGATGGTGGTGGTGGCCCTCCTCATTGGCTTTCGTCGAGGGGTTATCCTCTTAGCTTAACCCCATAAGGCCACAAAGGATGTTTAGCTTTATTTATGTGTCGAAAATGGTAAACTGGAAGCGGAATGAAATGGGTGGGTTGGCTGGATAAAAGACTCATGGATTATGCACTGGGGGAACTCCAAGCTGGGCCATCCAGCTTGCTACCGAATCTAACCTTTCTGAAAATGTTACCAAATAAGTTTCTAAAGCGGGATTTAAGGGCCATTGCAGTACGAAAATAAGGTTGTAAATCCACTCAAATGTCTGCAGACCGCCTTCCACACATTTTATATAATTACAACCGCTTCTGGGGGACACTCTCGATTTTATTTCCACAAAACTAAAAACCCCTCTGTGCAAATTGTGTCAGTCGCCGAGTCTCTTGACTCCGCCCACCTGCAATCCCATTAAAAATGTTCGCAACGCATCCTTTACGCTGATAATAAAGTTACTGCTCTACATATCCACGTAATTTCCTTATTAGGACGCCGCTCCCTTAATCCCAGCAACTCACCTGGGCTCATTCAATTTCAACTTTTTGCGCTTTTGATGCAGTTACTTGGCGTAAAACTTACAAAAGCAGTGGAGCACCAGACTCCGCTCTCCATGGAGAATTCAATTAAAAACTTCAGCTCCTGAGGGGAGTGAAAGTAGAAAAAAGAGGAGCACGGAGCAGGAGGCAGTGGGAGAGTGGGGGAGTGGAAAAAATCATAGAAGTATTTTGATTTCGTTCGCATATTTCTGTTATTGGTGAAATTCTATACGGGGTAGGATTAGTGCCACCCACCTGGAGTTCCAGGAGTCTGGTCTCTGGTTTCTGGCATCCCTGGCCAACTCGCACAAACGAAATAATCCAATATACATATTGTATTGTGCGATAATACTACGGCTCGCAACGATGCCAGAGATGAAAAGCGGCAGTCCTGGTGATTTCTTTGCTGCTTTTTGTATGCCGCCCCACTCCTTTGTTGAACAATGCTTTCCGGATATCGTTCGCTTGTTTTCCCTCCATGGAGTGCGTTTCATTTAAATTTTTTGCCATTTTTAGGCAGTTTTATGCTTGGCAAAGTCAACAACTGGCGAACAGATTCTATGGAAAATCATTTCAATTTCTCTAACAAATTTCCATAGATTCGGGCCAGGTCTGTCGGTCTGTCTGTCTGTCTGTTATTTCGGGCGCTTCTTTTGCACAGAATCGACAGAGGCTTAACCCACCAAAGATTCCATTGAGGTGAGGCTTTAATGAAGCCAAATCACTTGTCTATCCATAACAGAGGGTTCCCAATAAAAACTCGCCTTGCTGCATAAGTAAACAGAAATTTGCTTATTTCTCCTCGAGCTGGCAATAAATTACTCCGGCAGATAAAAGTAATTCGAGAAGAATAATTGAAATTGTAATTGTCGCCGGCGATGGAGTCGCCTTCCCAGACTTTATACTCAATTTTGCACCATTGATTTCGGGCAGCTGCGACCGAAGTTTGTTTGCTTCTGGGTGTTCCCTTTTTTCTGCCAACTCTGCATACGACAAAATAAAAGATAATGTTGATGGTAAGTGCTGCACAGAAAGAAATTATATTACTCATTTTTTTGTTACTTTACTTGATTCGTTTAAGTGGGTGTCCTAAGGCACGCAGTAAATCCCATTATCTTTCAACTTACAAATGGAGTTTGCATACCTTTAGACACCCATTAAGGTCAAAACCCCTTTGACAAGGCATCTTTTTTTTTGTGTGTACACTCTTCTTGCGAACGCCGGAATCTGTGGCCCATAACTGGACGAGTGACCCATGCCCCATTCGGGCAACTGGCCAGCCGGGAAATGTGGCAAGTGGCCGGCGCTAATGTCACCGTCTGGGCCTTTTTGGCAACTAGCAACCTCGCCAATTGGCAATCGTACGTGAGTTCTGTTTATTTTTTATTTTTATGCGACAATGGCAATGCAAAGTAAGTGCACTCGAGTTGCTTGGAAGGTACACACAGGGTCCGAAGGATGTGCATAAAAATCAGTGGGCTTTAAAGTTAACGATGCATCTCGCTCAATTACGGCAGTATAAACAACTTCATCGGCCGCTCCGCTTCCGCATCCGTTTCCGGTTCCGCTACCTGCGTCCGGATTTGGACGTGGATGTGGGCGAGCTCGGCCCGCAGCTCCGCGCGGCATGCCTGCCATAATTGTTTGGCTAGAAAAAACAAGAGCTCGCAGATGCCAATCAGCGAGAAACCGGCTATAATGCCGCAGATGTTGCCAATTGTACCTGGCACGGGAACAACCATAAATGGGTAAATGCTGGGTGAGATATGCAAAGCGACCATACTCACTGAAGGTCTCGTACCAGGCGCTCTTAATAATCTGGCGAAAGTATTGAATGTGCGTTTCGGCAAAATAAATACGCACCACGGCCAGCTCGGCGGGGGAGGATGAGCCGTGGACTGGGCCCTTTCCGGATCCGGAACTCAATGCTGGGCCGTAACTGTTATTGGCACGCGGCTCGGGATTGCTTCGCCTGCAATATGAAAATCTTTTACGACGGCAAGGAGTCAGGAAAGCCTGCCAGTGCTGGCAGAATATTAAGGACTCATGTGGTTGGGGCGATAAATTATCTGTAGAACTCTCAAAATAAATGCTTTTTTTGGGAAATACATATTTGTTTCCTAAAACGCGAATTCTTGAGCCATAAATAAATTGCTAATATTACAATTTGAATTTGAAATCTGTGAAAGCTTGCCATCTGTTCTTTCTAGGCCAGCAGATGGTAAGTACAAACTAGGTTTCTACAAAAAATGAAATACTTTTGAAGTGCGACTTTAAAGGGGCAGCACTGCAGCTCACAACTGGAAATGGAAAGGAGTGTGAGCCAGCGACCGGCTCCATATGGAAATTGAAAAGAAAGCCCGGCATGGGAAATGAGTTGGAGGCACAACGGAGTCGCAATTTGCACCGCAGCGAACTGAATCCGCTTTGGCCAGTGGACTTACGCAGGACCCTTGATCTGGCTGGGAGTGGGCAGGCCCAGTGTCATGGCTCCCCGGACACTATAGCGAGTCTCCGTGCAGGAGGCCAGGCAGAGGGGGCAGTAGAGGGCGTCCTGCAGTTCGTGCTCCAGGCCCGTCACGTTCTCCCGACTGGTGATGACGTTCAACCACTTGACTGGCGGGAGGAGGCGAGAGGAGACATTTATTCAATGAATTCGCGATTCGCGATTAACTCCACTTAAAACCCACACTCGTAGCGCTTGAGACAAGCCAGGTGCTGCAGAGTGCAGTAGATCCTCTTCTCGCTCCCATCGATGTATCTGTGGGGCAGGCTGAACGGAACGCACTCGCACAGGCTGACCACACTTTGGGCCCTGCAGGCGGAGATGCACTTGCTGAAGGTATAATGCCGGGCGAAGATCCACGGCATCTCGTTCTCAAACAGGCACTTGCGCTGGAATTAAGGAAAACGATTCGCGGGCAGGCCGTGGGAAAAAAGCAAATAAATTAATTATACTGTGCACCTACCACCGACGGGCTCATGCTGCGCGCTTCGGGCAGAGTCTCAAAAATCTTAGCCCTCACCGGCAGCAAGGTGTTAAAGCCGGTCTCGGCCACGCGCTCAGCCACTCCTCCGGAAAAGGGATCCGGATAGCTGTGCGGCTCGTAAATGGAGATCTGAGAACGCTAAGTAACTAGAGGGAGCGATAGCTTTAGTATTACCCACCACAAACCCATTGTGGCCGTTAATCTTGTAGAAGTTGTCACTGCTGCAGAAGCCATGGCTGGTCAGGGTCGTCTCAAACTTAGCCATGCAGTCGAACAGACGCCCGGCAATCCGGCAGCTCACGAACATATCACTGCAGTTCGGTGTGAGGGCGCTCATCCGCTTCCTGGTATTGAAGAAGAGCTCCTCCTCACCCGTATCGAATCTGTCCAGGAAGCTCTGGAAGCGCAGAGCATTGTCTATGTCCATCAGATCCGAGGGATCGTAGTACATATACATGAAGGCTTTCAGTTGGCCGTAGAAAAAGCCGGCATTGCGCTGCTTTGGATCTTTGCCACTTCTGCAAATAATATACAAATGCAATCATTTAACGTCGTCTTCGGGGATGTAGGTTCCAAACTACACCCACAGATTGTGGGCATATTGCCAGGCCGCACGTTGGGAGATGCGGTTCAAGCTGCACACGGATATGGCCGGGAACTCCACCTTCCAAATGGGATACATCGGATGGTACATGGTGGTCACCAGGGCGTCCTGCTCGTTGGTGTAGGTGCCCCAGAGGAATGCAATTAGGACGGTCAGCGCGGTTATGTGGAAAACGAACCAAAAGAAACTGCGGGTGCACGGAAAAATAATATGATGTTTAATTTGATTCATAGGAAGTGTAAGTATTAGGAATATTAAAGGTGATAGAAATATTTGTGTTCATTTTATGAGATATGTGATAAGTGAAATCCAAACTTTTTTGCCTGTGTAGCTGGCGGATTCGGGTAATGGCTAATGCTAATTGAAAAAGGCCATCGACCATCCGGATGTGGCTGACCACCTACCGCTCCTGAATCCGCCGACCGGACTCCACTAATTTGCTGTAACAATGGAACGACAGGTTCTGCAGCAAATCCTTTAAAGCTGCGGCAAATGACAATTTTCGCGTATCCTCCGCGGAAGTTCCAGGTAAGTGGCTCGATGGCAGTGTGGCTATGGGTGGGCAGCGAGCTACCCTTCCGGGATTGGGTATCCACCAGGCAGCGCGACCCACCGCCAAGCGAAAGGGCTTCTGATCCAAGGACTCCATTGCAACTGGCATTGTTCTTGCGAGTACGGGCCGATTTTAATGAAAATTTCGCAGTCATGTCGTGCGTGTTGTTGTAATTAGGCCTGGTGCTCCAACTTATTGCCAACAAATTAACTGCGACATGGCACGTGGTGTTCGCTGGGCCAGGAGGCCAGGAGGGCCTGCTCTCGATTCGTCTTGGCAATTTCCCTTAATTGTCAACAATTTAAAACGAAATTAGTTAAATGCGCGTTAAATGTCAGCCAGCGGAAACATCATCATCATCAGCAACAGCAGTAGCAAGTTCGTCCTTGTTTCGTGCCCCCCAAAAAAATCGTATTCCCTCCCCCTTCGGATTATGAGCTGCGTAGGCAAACGAAGGGCAATTTCCGGTGGTGGCCATAGAAATACAGATTCTTCCGAAATTCCCAAGATTAAGTAGAGACAAATTGCAGGAAATATTTAATTAGAGGTTAGTCTAAGCTGGAACTGACCTCTACTCCGCTCCAAAAATGGATCTAAACGGTTACTTTAAACGTGACGTTTATGGTGAAAACCGTGTGGCTTGAATATTAGCTGAAATGGCGAAGAGGACCTGTCAATCGGTGAATAAAGCCTGCATGGAAATGCGATTGTTGGAACATATTGACACGGACGGAAATGGCACATTTTCGCCTGGAAAAGGGGGGCTTTTGGAATGGTTCGACAAAGGATTGTGCGACAAATTGCTCCCCAGGTGAGTGTGGGAGCAAATTAATCTGCAAATAAGCAGGCGACGGGAGGGAAACGGTGAAGGCAGTCGGCCAAGATAAACGCACAAAGCGCAGAAAATCTGGAAAACGTGGTTGTGGGGGTTATTCTTCTCTCTTTTTGAGCCAGCAAACGGAAACGGAAATGAAAAATGTGAAAAATGCAATGCGCAGCGAGTCGCGAAAAACGACAGTCAAAAGCGAGAAAGAGGGTGCAGTGAAAATTGCAAATGCAAATTGTCTATGGTGCGTATGTGGGTATGCGTGTCTGGTGCACACTGCGTATGAGTAACATCGATGCTGACTTGTCCTTTATCTCGGCCCCACCTTTCCCCACGTCCCCTCGCCGCCAATTCTCGCCGATTCCGGTGCCAATAGTTGCCATATCTCTTCGAGGGAAAAATACGTATATGTGGCGCAGTAAATCTGTCATATCCAGACAAAAGCTCAAGCCAAGCGAATTCTACCTACTCTACCCACTTCCACACCGGATGTTTCGTTTCGAGCAGGGACTTCCTCGAAAAAGAACCCCTGCTAAATTGATTCTCAATATTTGCGTTAGATTTCCTGTCTGAATATTTACGTACAATTATAAAAATCGTGTGTGTCTTACTGATTGAATAATTAAATATGTAACTTTTAAGAGGCAACTTTGCGATTCCCCGTGCTTACGGTTTCATAACTAGTTACCGAATTTCCGCCCACAAATACATATCAATATTGTTGGCAAATCAAGACCATTTAAGAACGAATACTGGAATATCATAAAAGCTTGTAACTACAATATCCTAAACTATGTATAATCTTCTTGTGAGCTATGCACATCGGTAAATTTACTACCAAGAACATCATAATATAGCATAATTTTAGGCCGACGATACTGTGCTATTAGCTGATTGCTAAGAAACATTACGAATCATTATCATTTACTACTCACACCTATTTATACCCGTTATTCGTAGAGCAAAAGGGTATACTAGATTCGTTGAAAAGTATGTAACAGACATACTTACATTTTTTTACGCAATCTCTACCGATATTCCAGAAAATGCTAAAATTTCTCGTTTCAACTTTCACTACTTGAGTAACTCGACTTTAGCATTCTATCTTCTTTTTTCTGATGTTGTAGAAATTCAAAACTCATCCAAGACTGAAGTTCTAAAGACCATAACTCAACTTATCTTAATCGGATTTTGAAGTGGCATACCTCTAAAAATTTCTGGAGCAATTCTCTAAGAATCTGCATTCAAATTTGGAAATTTATTTTTCCAAAATTTTTTTGTAATTTTTCTGGTGTTATGATGTTGTAGAAATTCCAAAATGACTTAAGACTAAAGTTCTGAAGACCATAACTCAACTTATCCTATTCGGATTTTGAAGTGGCATACCTCTAAATGTTTCTGGAGCAATTCTCTAAAAATCTGCATTCAAATTTGGAAATTTATTTTTCCAAAATTTTTTTGTAATTTTTCTGGTGTTATGATGTTGTAGAAATTCCAAAATGACCCAAGACTGAAGTTCTAAAGTCCATAACTCAACTAATCTTAATCGGATTTTGAAGTGGCATACCTCTAAATGTTTCTGGAGCAATTCTCTAAAAATCTGCATTCAAATTTGAAAATTTATTTTTCCAAAAATTTTTTGTAATTTTTCTGCTGTTATGATGTTGTAGAAATTCCAAAATGACCCAAGACTGAAGTTCTAAAGTCCATAACTCAACTTATCTTAATCGGATTTTGAAGTGGCATACCTCTAAATGTTTCTGGAGCAATTCTCTAAAAATCTGCATTCAAATTTGGAAATTTATATTTCCAAAATTTTTTTGTAATTTTTCTGATGTTATGATGTTGTAGAAATTAAAAAATGACCCAAGACTGAAGTTCTGAAGACCATAACTCAACTTATCCTATTCGGATTTTGAAGTGGCATACCTCTAAATGTTTCTGGAGCAATTCTCTAAAAATCTGCATTCAAATTTGGAAATTTATTTTTCCAAAATTTTTTTGTAATTTTTCTGGTATTATGATGTTGTAGAAATTCCAAAATGACCCAAGACTGAAGTTCTAAAGTCCATAATTCAACTTATCTGAATCGGATTTTGAAGTGGCATACCTCTAAATGTTTCTGGAGCAATTCTCTAAAAATCTGCATTCAAATTTGGAAATTTATTTTTCCAAAATTTTTTTGTAATTTTTCTGGTGTTATGATGTTGTAGAAATTCCAAAATGACCCAAGACTGAAGTTCTAAAGTCCATAACTCAACTAATCTTAATCGGATTTTGAAGTGGCATACCTCTAAATGTTTCTGGAGCAATTCTCTAAAAATCTGCATTCAAATTTGAAAATTTATTTTTCCAAAAATTTTTTGTAATTTTTCTGCTGTATGATGTTGTAGAAATTCCAAAATGACCCAAGACTGAAGTTCTAAAGTCCATAACTCAACTTATCTTAATCGGATTTTGAAGTGGCATACCTCTAAATGTTTCTGGAGCAATTCTCTAAAAATCTGCATTCAAATTTGGAAATTTATATTTCCAAAATTTTTTTGTAATTTTTCTGATGTTATGATGTTGTAGAAATTAAAAAATGACCCAAGACTGAAGTTCTGAAGACCATAACTCAACTTATCCTATTCGGATTTTGAAGTGGCATACCTCTAAATGTTTCTGGAGCAATTCTCTAAAAATCTGCATTCAAATTTGGAAATTTATTTTTCCAAAATTTTTTTGTAATTTTTCTGGTGTTATGATGTTGTAGAAATTCCAAAATGACCCAAGACTGAAGTTCTAAAATCCATAACTCAACTAACCTTAATCGGATTTTGAAGTGGCATACCTCTAAATGTTTCTGGAGCAATTCTCTAAAAATCTGCATTCAAATTTGGAAATTTATTTTTCCAAAATTTTTTTGTAATTTTTCTGGTGTTATGATGTTGTAGAAATTCCAAAATGACCCAAGACTGAAGTTCTAAAGTCCATAACTCAACTAATCTTAATCGGATTTTGAAGTGGCATACCTCTAAATGTTTCTGGAGCAATTCTCTAAAAATCTGCATTCAAATTTGAAAATTTATTTTTCCAAAAATTTTTTGTAATTTTTCTGCTGTATGATGTTGTAGAAATTCCAAAATGACCCAAGACTGAAGTTCTAAAGTCCATAACTCAACTTATCTTAATCGGATTTTGAAGTGGCATACCTCTAAATGTTTCTGGAGCAATTCTCTAAAAATCTGCATTCAAATTTGGAAATTTATATTTCCAAAATTTTTTTGTAATTTTTCTGATGTTATGATGTTGTAGAAATTAAAAAATGACCCAAGACTGAAGTTCTGAAGACCATAACTCAACTTATCCTATTCGGATTTTGAAGTGGCATACCTCTAAATGTTTCTGGAGCAATTCTCTAAAAATCTGCATTCAAATTTGGAAATTTATTTTTCCAAAATTTTTTTGTAATTTTTCTGGTGTTATGATGTTGTAGAAATTCCAAAATGACCCAAGACTGAAGTTCTAAAATCCATAACTCAACTAACCTTAATCGGATTTTGAAGTGGCATACCTCTAAATGTTTCTGGAGCAATTCTCTAAAAATCTGCATTCAAATTTGGAAATTTATTTTTCCAAAATTTTTTTGTAATTTTTCTGGTGTTATGATGTTGTAGAAATTCCAAAATGACCCAAGACTGAAGTTCTAAAGTCCATAACTCAACTAACCTGAATCGGATTTTGAAGTGGCATACCTCTAAATTTTTCTGGAGCAATTCTCTAAAAATCTGCATTCAAATTTAGAAATTTATTTTTCCAAAATTTTTTTGTAATTTTTCTGGTGTTATGATGTTGTAGAAATTCCAAAATGACCCAAGACTGAAGTTCTAAAGTCCATAACTCAACTAACCTTAATCGGATTTTGAAGTGGCATACCTCTAAATGTTTCTGGAGCAATTCTCTAAAAATCTGCATTCAAATTTGAAAATTTATTTTTCCAAAAATTTTTTGTAATTTTTCTGCTGTTATGATGTAGAAATTCCAAAATGACCCAAGACTGAAGTTCTAAAGTCCATAACTCAACTTATCTTAATCGGATTTTGAAGTGGCATACCTCTAAATGTTTCTGGAGCAATTCTCTAAAAACCTGCATTCAAATTTGAAAATTTATTTTTCCAAAAATTTTTTGTAATTTTTCTGCTGTTATGATGTTGTAGAAATTCCAAAATGACCCAAGACTGAAGTTCTAAAGTCCATAACTCAACTAATCTTAATCGGATTTTGAAGTGGCATACCTCTA